CGAACTATGTTCCTTAGGCCTTAAACGAGAATTGCCATTTAATTGAAGGCACTTTTCTTAGTAAATGCGATGTTCTTAGTAGGACGATCTTCTGGATAACTTGTATGTTGATGTTACCTGGGACACTGTTAGTAAAATTGTCCATTTCTTTTCTCACGAGACCCAGAGCTCCGATTACTATTGGTACAGTCTCAGACTTCATCCCCACATCCTGTTAATCTCGATCTGCAGGTCCTTGTATTTGGGCAATTTCCCGATACTTTTCATGGAGATGTTTCTCTCAGATTGTACTGCTATGTCAATAAGCATACAATTCCTGAATTTCTTGTCTTTTATGATATCAGGTCTGTCGGCTTTTATTTCCCTGTCAGTTTGAATTGGCATGTCCCAGAGGATAGTTACATTGTTATTTTGGGTTACTTGTGTCTAGTTAGTGCCTATACCATCTCTCATTAGTTTTGATTTTGTGCTCCTTGCATATCTTCCAGTATACATATGTCGCTAACTTGTTACGTTTGGAAATTGATAAATATAGGAAGTTGACATAAGGCCGCCTTTTATATAGTCGTAAGTGATGAGACAAATTTAATACGCAACTCGACATGTCGCATTTAAATTTGGACTAAGACCTTCCTTGAAAGTATTAACCAAAAGTAAATCAACAGTTGCCAATCTGAAATTAGCATTCTTGCAACGATTCAAACTATTTTTTAAATCTTCTGATTCCTAAAAGCGATAGAGAAATCTCACAAGACAAATGCAATTTTCTTAGTAAAAGAAGTACGATGAATGTAAGAATTCGTCGTACTTCTATTAGTAATTCCCAAATCGTATATATTATCATCTTTTATATTGTACTATATTCCCATGTAACGACAATTAGCCGTTTCCTTATAAGGAAACATCCGACATTCATTAACTTAGCAACCAGTGCTACTGTCGAACGAAATTTATAAATTTCAAACAAATATTCATGAAAATAGTTGTCTCATGTCCAGTAATTGTTATTGATCCCTTTAGTATTGATGGGGTTTTCCTTCTTAACCTTTTGTTCAAAGTAGTGTGGAATGTCAGTATCTTGATTATGAGATTATTTTTTCTTCGAATTACGTGTGCTATCTAATTCAACTAATGAAGTAGTTTCTGTTATTTGGTAGAGTTCTTTGTGATTCCGTAGCTGCAGTACACGATGTTCGAAGGATGGTTCTTGAAAAATGTACAATCTTCATTCACTCGACGTCACTGTTAACCAATGATCTGAGAAAAAAGGTTGTATAAAGTTGATAGTTTAGATATTTCTAAACAGATTTGATGTCCTGCGTGACATCCACATGAAAGTTTCAAACTGACAAGGCTACTGAAGTAGATGACTTCCTTCTGAAGACTTTTTCCCAAATATTGATGTTTATTCATGAACTCAGATTTTAATAAGTGTATTCGACCGCTTATATTTTTTACATATCCCTTTAATAATACCCTATTTATTTTTCCTCTTTTCTTTTAGAAACTAGAACTACCACAGAACATTGCTTTTCATGCTCAAAGTATTTAAGGGTTTTATTGACAAAAATGAAACTTTTTATCGTGTGGGAAAGAAAGCAAGAAAATAGTCCTATCCAGTATGAAAGTTAAAGTTTTGAGGCCACAAAGATTGAATAGATCAGGGATTATGGTGACTTAAACCAAAAAACGTATGCTGTATATGCCCATGAAAGCGACAGTTTTACCTTTGTAAAAGGAATTTTTTGCATTCTTTCATTTATACGTCTGTTACTCTGAAATCATTTAATAATACGTTCTCCCAGATAGCATTTCAATGCAATCCAACTATTGTAAACAAAATTGTATGGCAATGATAATAGCCATTAGCAATGGTAGTGGTAATATTAGCCGTTTTCCTACAAGGAAACATTTGGCATTCATTGACCAGTACTTCTTTCGGTTGAAATTTATAAAAAAATAATTCTCTTAAAACACTTTTTTAGGAAAACAGGTTTATCAAGTTCAGTAGCTTTTATCTTTCTTTTTAGTATTGATTGGGATTTCTTTCCGAATCTTCTATTTGAAGTGTTATCATCTTTGTCATCATTTTCTCTTTGAGTTACAAGTGCTATTAATTTTAGTTGTTACTACTGTTGGTAGTCCTCAAGTAATGTAGTTTCTTTTATTTGGTACAGTTCTTTGTTTGTGATTATGTATTGCCAGTCCACAATATACAAAGTTGGGTGATCTTTACCAAGTCACTAGCTCAATCTCTTTTTCACTATTGATCTTAGAAAGCTGACACTTTAGATATTTCTGAACGGGTTTGACGTCATGCATGATTTCCATATGAAAAACACGATCTGACGAGACTATTTAAGGACATGACTCGAGTTTTCAGCTTGATGGTTTTGTAGCAATTTGCGAAACTACCCCGGCACAACCTATTGTAAGTTCAATTCATTTTTTTTCTTATACTTAATTTGTTATATCTAATCCGTACACCGAGGCATCTGGAATGTTTAGTATTTACTAATTCAACATCTATTTTTATAGTTCACATAAATACACAAAAAGAGAAAGGGTTGTAAGCCAATGGTGTGTATTCTCACCAGACTTATTCAGCTTTTAAAGTGAAGCAATCCTCAGTTAATTAGAAGTCCTAACATGATACATTATTGTCGTTCACAATCTTGATAACATTAGATATGCAAATTGCACAGTGTCGATAGAAAACACAGAAGATAAACTACAAGAACTTCTTCAGACAGTATTAAAAATCGAGAAGAAAGGACTAAACATCAATTGTTAGAAGACAAAAAATATGGTTGTTAGCAAAAGCAACAGCACAATATGTGAATTCCAAATTGGAGACATCAAAATCAAGCAATTACATAATATTAATTATAATCATTTCTGACCTTAGGTCTCTGGTTGAGACCCGGAAGGAAATGTGTGTTCAACAGAAACCAAAGGAATAATAATAATAATAATAATAATAATAATAATAATAATAATAATGGAAATATCAACAATCCCTGTTGTAGTTGGAGCCCTAGGACTGGTTGGAAAAGATTGCAATAGACTAATTGAAGGGATTCTTGGAAGTCCATGCCTCCAGGAGATACAAAAAATTGTTCTGACAAGTACAGCCCACACTTTACGAAGGGCTTTATCTATGTAATTTTTTTTTTTTTTTTTTTTTTTGTCAGTGGAAAGTGTCATGACGCCATTTCTAACCTCAGGTCCCTGGGCGGGACCCGGAAAGAAATGTGTAAACGCCAGAAATCAAAGAAAATAAAAATAATAATAATAAAAATTAATTAATTAATGAATTAATTTTAAATATCTAAAAAGCGTTTTAACAGAAGACAGAAAAAGTGGAATAACGAAAGATGACGAACACTCTTTTGCAAATTCTTACGAAAGAGTGAAATTTTGTTAAAAACAAAGAGAAGAGTATTGATGTGTTATATAATATACAGTGGGCTATGATAAGTTTTTAGCCATCCTTGATTACAGCAATTTTGGCTTTTTTAATAACATCTCTTCTTTTTTTTTCAGACGATACCTTGTTAGTATTAAGCTCCTCTAATCTATGAATAATAGACTTATATCTTGCAATGAAAGTACGTGGAAGTAAGGAAATTAGTGAATTTCAACAAGGGCAAATAATAGGAAGGCATCAGTTGGGCAAGTCAAATAGAGAAATTGCTAGGTTTTTCCAGGTTTATCATCTAACGGTTAATAATATTGTCAAGAAATTTAATGAAGAAGGCCATTGTCGTGTGGAACAATGTTTAGGAAGGCCAAGTATCGTGTCTGAGCGATGGAAAAGGACGCTGAATAGCGAAGTCATCAGAAATCATCGTCAGAGCGTCAAAGATGTCGCCAACAGCATGGAAATGTCGCCATATGCGGCGAGGAAGACTCTGAAAGAACTAGGCTATCAAAATATGGCTCAGACGATTGTTGATAGTTTGATCAAATCCATGAAAAATCGAATACAAACACTGACATTAGCAAATGGAGGACCTACTCCATACTAGTTCCAAATACTGTTTGTTTATGTTGAACAGGGATTACATAATTAAATTTTGAAATTGGATGTAGTTTATATCTCCTGGATAAAAACTCTTCTGAGGTCACTCTAGGCCCTCCTAAATGGCAGTGAATGTTGGACAAATGCATCACGTATGAAGAGACTTGCGATATTTTCCTTATAACTTCGTTGTTCATATGTTTCGTCCATAATATTCTCAGCATTCTTCTATATGACTACATTTCTGTTTCCTCACGTTTCATCTATATCTGTGAGGAAATTTTTAACATTCATTGCCATAGCAGAGGATTGATATTACATAGCAGTTTAGCATTCTTTTCTTTGTTGCTAATGAAGTACGGCTGATGTAATACTTTGCTTAATTTTAGAGGGCTTCTTTTGCTATACCAATTCCCCTTCGGATATTTATCTCACATTTTGCGTCATCTGTTAAAATACTTCCATGGTGATTAATAACAGAGTTCATGCTTTCTTAGATACGTTCACTCAGCAATTAGAAAGTTTGTAATAGACAACGTGAGATTCAAATGCAAAAGAAAATCGAATATATTGTATTCAGTATCTATCATTAAAATTGATTCGAAAAGAAATAAAAAAAGTTTGATTCATTTTTACTCATACCGTTTAAATAGATAATTTTCATCAGATGATCACCTTTAGTTTGGTTCAGCCACAATATCTTTTGAAATTATTTCCCATACATACAAGTGTTGCGATCGACTGAATATTTATATTTTTTATTAAGTGATTAAATTTAAATTAATAATATTTGACTTTAGCCAATGTTCAAGAATTAAGAATTGATAAACTATCGTCTACTTTTTATAATAAAAAAAATGGGTTTATCTGAGTAGGTTGCTGGAAAACATGTCAACTTTGATTTGATGACTGAATATTTCTATACAGAGAATAAATCCTCAACGATATTTAATTAACATGGCGGGTCTAAAAGAAAATGTTACTCATTATTTCAGTCTATCTATCTATCTATCTTTTTCAGTCTGTTCCCTTCTGCCTCTTTTTCTCTCTTTCTATCCCTGTCTCTGAATCTCTTTCTCACTCTATCTATTGCAGACTGTTCCTTTCTCCTTTTTTCCCTTCTCTCTGTCTACGTATCTAACTTTTACGTATCTATCTCTGTTCATAGCTATCTATCTATCTATTTCAGTTTGCTTCCTTCTGTCTCCTTTTCTCTCTTTCTGTCTGTCTGTCAATCTCACTCTCTTTCTATCTCTCTTTATCTCTCTCTCTCTCTCTCTCTCTCTCTCTATCTATCTATCTATCTATCTATTTCTGTCTGCTCCCTTCTGCCTCTTTTTCTCTCTTTCTTTCCTTGTCTCTGACTCTCTCTCTCTCTCTCTCTCTCTATCTATCTATCTATCTATCTATCTATCTATCTATCTATTGCAGACTGTTTCTTTCTCCTTTTCCTTCCTTCTCTCTGTCTACGTATCTAACTTTTACGTATCTATCTCTGTTCATAGCTGTCTATCTATCTATCTATCTATCTATCTATCTATCTATCTATCTATTTCAGTTTGCTTCCTTCTGTCTCCTTTTCTCTCTTTCTGTCTATCTCACTCTCTTTCTCTCGCTTTCTCTCTCTCTCTCTCTATCTATCTATCTATCTATTTATTGATTTAAGACTGTTTCGTTCTCCCTCTTTCTTCCTTCTCTCTGTCTAAGTTTTACGTATCTCTCTCTGTTCCTATCTATCTATCTATCTATCTATCTATCTATCTATCTATCTATCTAAGTCTGCTTCCTTCTGCCTCCTTTTCTCTTATTCTGTCTGTCTGTCTGTCTATGTATCTCTCTTTCTCTCTCTCTCTCTCTCTCTATCTATCTATTTATCGATTTCAGACTGTTCCTTTCTCCCTCTTTTTCTCTTCTTTCTAAGTTTTACGCATCTCTCTCTGTTCCTATTTATCTATCTATCTATCTATCTATCTATTTTAGTTTGTTCGCTTTTGCCTCTCTCTCTCCGTCTCTCTCTTTCTCTCTGTCTATCTCACTCTGTTCCTATCTCAGTTCATTCATATCTATCTTGGGTACTTCGACGTGGTTAGCAAGCTTCTTCTGCTCCATCAATTACAACTGAAGAGTGAGTTCGATCCCCACTGTGTGTCCCTTACTTTCGGCCTTGTGCCACATCTAATCTACGCTTAGAAAATCACCATATCTATGCAACTCTCTTAATTTAATTCAACTGATATCCTTCTTAACAATGTGTTTACTTACTCAGTACATATATTTCTTTCTCTTTAAATATATATATAAAACATAATTCCTTCTCACTCTTTACATACGTACATGCACAAGTATATAAACGTACGCGTATATGTATTTCAAATGTTGTCTCAGGGTATTGTTAACTATCCTGGGTAACAGATGTTCATGACAAGCGTTCCTCTCTTCTGATAAAAAGTAACGCCCATCCAGTGTACAAGCGCTATCGATAAATCTTGCAGATTTCAATTTTATGCCATCACTCGACATCTATGACTTACGAGACATCAATTTAGCGACAAACTTTGGCTTCCTTTGGCTTCCCGAGAGTCTTCTTAACCTTATGTTGAATGGGACTTGCTTAGAAAAAAAATAATAATATTGATTTCATCTTTGACAACTTCCATCATTTTCGCAATTTTATTTTTGCTTTTACCATGTTCTCACAGCCTTTCACCGCTCTCTCATTCCCTGTCCTGATTTGATCATTATTTGCGCCGTGATTCTTGTCTTTGACAAGAGGTTATTTCATTTCGCATACGCGGGAACGTTGTCATTTAACACGTTAGCAGGTGTATGTATCAGAAAGATTTAAGTTCAATCGATGCTAATCATAGCTGTTATGAGTATATGACTGCGTTCATACCAAATATTTTAAGATTAAAGGTTTTCTAGCTGGAATTACTTATCTTTTTCCGGTTCATTTATTACATTTCACTGAAAGACCAGATCATTTCAAGAAAATTATTCGATCACTATTATAGAGCATGTTCTTCCCCAGTACGTTATTTATGAGATTATTCTTTCTTTTTATGTGTCATGTTCTTTCAGGACGTAGGCGATCATGGCACCCCACCTCCCTCTAACTCTTGGAGCTCTCAACAAGTTCCTTCTCTCTAGTACCCCCGCCTCAAGATCATGTTTTATCACTTTATCAGTTTCTGTAATTTTGAGACAACTTAATTTTAATATAAATTATTTAAATATGATATATTTTTAATTATACTTTATTGAAATATATATTATTTTTAAATATAGCTTATCGTTGGATTGGTACTTATGAGTATGATTTTGTTTTTTTAAACATAACTTCATATACTTTAACGTTTTTATTGTTTAAATCATTTTTTATTCCCCTCTTGGGTTCAAATTCACAGTTCATTCTTCATATAACCCAATTTCTTTTCAAATGGTTAAAATCTGGGTTTAATTTTATAAAACCACTTCCCTTTAAGACTAATACATTCACCTTCCGCTGACTCCTGTCTCGTACCCTTCGTCTGACTGAAACACTGAAAGGGATAAATTCTGTATTATTTTTTGGACTTTTTTTGTGTGTCTTTTTTTTTCTATTTTTTTCTTTTTTAATTTCTAATTCCGACACGAATTCAGTCTATACCGGGGTTGAATAAGACTAACGAATTTCATCGGTTCAAATAAGTTTCTTCCCCAGCTAAGGTGATTTGGGATTTTATTGTGTATTGATAATTTGCTCTGTATTAATAACTACATTGAGCTCTTTTTGAGGATCAGTTTTAATGTTTTATTTTAGTAGGATCCACTTGGATTATATACCAACGGTTTTATTACCTTTTAATATATATATATATATATATATATATATATATATATATATATATATATATATATATATATATTATATTTAATTGTACAACTCAGAGTTTCATACCAAATTTTCAAGTGCTGGAATTATAATATTTATTTTATAGCGCTTTTACTTTACATTGAGCACTGTTTTTTCTTACACTATAGGGTATTTATATATCGCTCGCTCGTATACTTACGTATATTTACCCATTCGTTTATATACATATATACTACACAGTTCTAACCATGTTTCAAAACCGCAATATATATATATATATATATATATATATATATATATATATATATATATATATATATACATTGCGGATATTCATGCTTGCCTAGACGTATTGTTTTGTATGTCGACCGGTCGGTGCATTCGTAAAATTTAAAACTCAGGCCGGTAGACAAAATCCACATTGTTTTTAAAAAAGTCTACTCAAACATTGATGTCTTCAAAATAACATTTGCGGCAATAGGAAACGCATTCACAGAGACACGCGCACGCGCCTGCACACACACATACACACACACACAAATATATATATATATATATATATATATATATATATATATATTACATCAAACGTTATTTTTAGTGGTTGAAATAGACGCCTCCTTTTTTGTCTCTTTTTTTATCTTAATTCAAACAGTGTGACAAAACTTAATAAAGAAAATGTGCTCTCCAACAGTGTTCGAAATCAAGCAGAAGTGGGCGTTCGAGAAAATCTGAACGGGTGAGTGTACATTCCTTAAAATGGAAAACAGAACCTCGTTGACACTCTCCGTATCTGAGTGGTATAAAGTACGCTGTAACAAAACGGTGATTTCTCCTACAAATGGGAACACCTGTTCAGACACTGACGGAGATTATCAAGTTTTCACGATACACTATTTAAAATAAAAATAATAATTAAAAAAGATATGTCGTTTTCAAATACTGCTCTACATTAAAATTAGTAATAAATTTCGAATACTAAAAATATTGGATTAAAAATAAATATATTTAAATCTTTAAAAATAGATAGACACATACAGCCACATACACACAAAAACATATAGCCACATACACACATACACACACACATATATATATATACATACTATTATTCAAAAAAATACTTTGTTTATATCTATATATACATACATATATCTATGCACACACACACACACACACATATATTTATATATATATATATATATATATATATATATATATATATATATATATATATATATATATATATTATATATTATCCACAGACAGACTGTTTCGCTGCGTTGTATCACAGCTGATCAGTGTGGCTAGACGCCCGGTTGCCTTTAGCTAGGATCGAAACCCGGCTGAATTGGCGTCAGTCGAAGATTTTACCCTATATATATATATATATATATATATATATATATATATATATATATATATATATATATATATATATATATATATATATATATACATATATATATATATATTGACACATGTTTCATTGAATAATTTATAGAAGTTTAGTCTAATTATTTTCAGTTGGATCCTTTCATATTCATGAACAAGCTTTTGGTGCCATTATTAAAGGAAGAGAGAAAATTACCTTATTGATGCATATTATTTATTCCGAGTACATTCGGGCATTAGCACAATATCATCATCAGAAGTTTTTTTAAATTTTTTTTCAAGACAAATATTGTAGTGTTCTTCATTTCAAAGACAAAATTGGTGTGTTCATCTGAAAGTTAAAATTTTTTGCAAGTGAAGTGAAGAACGCTGCGTTTAGTGCTGCGCGATTAGCTTGAGTAATGCTACAGGGAGATAACTATGACGTAATCGACAGTTTTCTAGTAAAAAATAATAATAATAAAGTATTAAGAACTATTGGTATAAACAAAGATATTTTAAACTATCTACTGTGTGTGTGCGCGCGTGGACAAGTGGCCTAGTTCATGCGTGCTCGGCGGCCTTGGATTGGCTAGGCATCTATCTATCTATCTATCTATCTATATATATATATATATATATATATAGTAGTAGTCTGCTCAAATCTATCTATCTATCTATATTTAGATTACTCATTTCTATTTATCTATCTATTTATGTCTATATACACATATATATATATATGTAAGCAAATGTAAATGGATATAGATCCGACAGAATGAAGAAAAATTTGGAAAAAACAAACAAAAATCCTTAAATGCAATTATGTTGTTTAAAATTAATGAAATGTCGACTTGTTCATCTACCTCTACGAAGGAGTGGCATAGAATGACTACGAATTCGTGCCCTACTCGATCAGGCTTTCCCAGCTGAAGTGATGTCCTAAATTTTGGCACTTTTTTCTCTTGGGTGGTGGAAATGTGTGCAACCCAGTATATTACGTGAAAAGCAATAAGATGTAGAAAAAATAATTTTACTTTTAACATAGTTGTGTTAACTCACAAACCTTGAACATAATTATCACGTGATATTATAAAGAACATAATTTATCAATATTTGTTGGATGACGTGTCATTTCTAAGCAAACTAGCCCTCAGATCATTGCTAATATAATGAACTATGCCTTTACCGATTAGCCCATACTTTAATTATACTCTAAGGCCAAAGTTAAAATTTCCTGAGACAAACAGGGAATATCGGATTTTTATAGGGATTCCATTAACCAGTTACAGCAGACATTATTATAATTATTAAACTTCTTCAGTTTTCGGAGGGCTATATTAATTGAGCAATTTGTTAAACTTGTTTGTTAATTAATCGATATGCGAAAGACACACTTGATAATTCAATAAAATTAGTTTGATGCAAGTGTGCAATTGCGGGATACCCAGTTGGAATCGAACCTTAATACTTAAAGACGAAGGTTTAGGTAATTGTCAACGAATTTAACTTTAAGAAAGAACGCTGTCATAGAATAATCAGGAGTATTATATTACTAAGTTCAGTTCTGTTTGTCACGACACCACAAGTATAGAATAATCAGTGTGAGTAGAACTCCTTACTTAATAATAATATTCAAACAGGCTAACTCGATAATTATTACTCCATACCAGGGTACACATTTTTTATTTAGTAAACTCAGCTTTGTCTGGTACAATGTCACAAGGATTGGGGACTCAGGGAGGAGGGAACTCTCTATCTAGTAGTTATAGGTATTCAAACTATTTAGCTAAGCGAGTTGTCCTGGGACACTAAAAGATGATTCCAATATTTTTCGCAACACTATCCAGATAACCTATATAATTTAATTCAAGCTAGTAAAGATATAATGAACTTTTCGTTTTAACTATGAAAGATTCTGGATTCTAAGTTTTTCTAAAACATTATTTCAACCCAAGGCAGGCAATAAAGACACTAAGACACAAGGAGTTACAGAGTGAGAGTGAATATAAGAAAAAATATTATTAAAGAGTAAGAACAATGAAAGAACAGGAATTAAGAAGATAACGATTGAAATTGGATTTAAATTTTTGAAGATCAAAGTTGAGTGGAAAATTGAAATTTTGGAGGCGACTTCCACAAGCGAGAAGTACGAGAGAATATATTGTTGGCCGTTTCATCTGTAAAATGATGAGACGTTGCCACCAATCTTGTATTGTGCTTAAATTCATGAAGTCTGGAAAGTGGAAGGTTCACAAGGACAATTACCAAAAAGTATTTATAGAAAAGGCACAGGGAAGCTATATTAGGTGGGAAAGTGACTGAAGCCGAGATGACAGGTCATAATTCTATTTTGCATACATTGCTGATTTTATTTTGTCAAGAATCTCTAAATTCATAGCAGAAGCACCAGGCCAGATGTGGTAGATATTCGATACATGGGTGAATGATAGTTTTATAAATATATAAAACTGATTCTATCTTACACGACACAGTGAACCCACCTTCCTAGCATGAGTCCTAGCAATTTAGATTGCAAAATGTAAATCGAAATATTTCTTCAAACCAAGTATGTGAAAACAAA